TCTTGAAAAAAGTTGCAATATTCTTCCTGGTAAGAATAGGTTTCCACGTACAACAGAAACACTATATAAAATAACTATCTATACACCATCAATGCAAATATATGCTTTCTTCCATTCTGATACTCATGGCATCTTTCTGTTTCACCTGAAACACAGGGCTGAGAAGAAATGAGATGTCATGGCTTATCATGATGGCTTTCTTCGAGAATACATAATGCGGGCCCGGGAATGCGGGGTGCCACATTCATTGCAACACACCTTGCAACAATGTCTTATATGAGGGTAATTTCTTATATTGAGAAGTTTATCATCTATTGAAATTAAATACTTGTAGCTACAAAAAGCGAATTTGTTTGAGCAGTCCTAGCTCGACATATTGAAAACAATATTTACAACATGGTATTCTTAGTAGACTGTTCAATTTGGAATTTCGAAGTAGCCAAACATCAGCTTTCTAACAAAAATCATCATTAAAGGATTTTATCAAAGTCTTCCATGCAAATGAAGGTGTGAATTCACATTAACAAATTAAGATTAGATCCACAATATGTTATCAAATGGTTAAATGCGCAAAATGTGTAGATATGTTTTCCTTAATAATGTGTGAGGAGGCCTTTCAGGCAATTTTTGAAAACGTAGTGAGAACAAGTTTGGTGTAGAGGGGAGGGGGATATCTCCCACCTCGGTCTCTCTCTAATGCCTTGGCCACATATGCGCTGGGCGCCGGCCGATGATTAGTCATCGGCCGATTTCTAAATCAATTTCGACAATAATTATCTAATTCGGCAATTTTAGTTACAAAACATGAAGGTACATTATGTAAAATTTTGAAGACAATTGGTGCATATTTAACAAAATACCGGCACCAGTCCTGTTACTTTTGGAACACCCTGTATGTCACCATTTCTGGCAATGTCTGGAGGCGGTAAAAACTAAAATGAATCTGATATACACATAATCACAAGTGAATCATCTATTAATACATCACTCTCATTTTAATAATGACAATTCTAGATTTTGATTTCTATTAAAAGTGTTCAATTCAACGGGTGCATTTGGATTTGTGAAATGCAACCTGTGTAAGGGTAAGTTATCTTATTAAAGGTAAATGACATTCTATATAAGTTGCCCTAGTCATTCCACAGTTCCAGGTGTTATTTTGTGGAGCCCATGTCTTGTCACATCACACGTGGAAATGACTTTGACAAACCTTGGACATCTTTCTTTCAGTCCATGGACTCTAAAATAACAAGAATTTGCATTGTCGGGAGCGTAAAATTGGTTATTTTGAATGCCGCCTCTTGTATTTTTCATCTGCCCCTTGTACACAAAGTTACTGAAACCACTGATATATGTCAACATATTGCGTTTTGGAGCGATGTGCAGGTTTAATGTATTCAAGCACATTCGAATGTGAACGTTTCTTACCTCCTCAGTAAATCGGTACTGAAGACTGTCCAGGGGTATTTGGTGGGGTACCGACAATTGTCGGCACTCTATCGTCATCTAGTAGTGCCAGAAAGAGAACCGACAATTGTCGGTACGCAAGTGGCTGCTACGTGTTTTTGCTAGAGAGCCGACAATTTCATAAATAAATCCACTACTTTTACATTCGAAATAACCTCATTACTGGTAGCCTAGTGGTTAGGGAGCACGACTCGAACGCACTCGGTTCGCACTCACGTTTGGAACTATTTTCACCTACATCGCTATTTTCGTAATTCAAATGTAAGTTGAACTCCTCTTTATTTTGATACCAAATAGTGGCATACTAGGTACCCTAGAAGCCAACTATGGGTTATTTAGAATGATACCACAGGTTTTTAAATGGACTATACCTTTTGGCGGATGGATATGGAACCTCATACCATAAGCTTCAAATAAAAAACATTCTAGCTATTTTCTTCTTTCTAATGGGTAGCAAACGCCCCTTTCTACGCCTGATCGGCTCAGGAGAAATATCCTGTCTGTTTAGAATATATAGCCGTTTACTCTGCATTAATAGCTCTTTAACGTCTTACTTGTTCATGTTTTATTGGGTTTTCAACGTTTACTACCATTCCCCGTTCCCGGGCTACCAATTTTTGACTGGGTTTGGTAATCCCCGGGTAACCGGGGCTTTACTCGAGTCTCTAGCTAACAGCTAGACGGAACTTCATTGATTTCGTATGTACTCTAGCAAAGGTGCTACACGCACCTAGAACTCATTTTTAATAAATTTTATAAATATTTTTAAGAATATTAATCATATTTAGGATGAAGCGTTGCTTGCCTGGATTTAGATATTTCAAAATTTCATTTCGGAGTTTGAAACATGATGAAATTTTGTCGCTGTAGCTAAAAATGGCTTCCGGTTCTGGACATGAATAAAATTTGAAATTATTCTCGCTTAAAGAAATCAAATATAACAATAGATTCAGACGGGGATGTGAGCTGATGTTCTTCAAATCTATACATAAAGGTATATTTCATATTATTATGCCATATTTACCGTGCGTGTGACACAATGATTTACAATATTTATAATACTAAGGCAGCTCAATCTTCCTCCTCAAAGCCGGAATATAGAGAAGGCTTTGGACCGAAGTAACCGGGGCTAATGCCCTCCCCGGGTTTTGCACTTGTTCCCAAAATATCCGTATGATATCTGAAATATCCCCCGCGCATTGCGCATGCGCCAGAAAATTCGAAAATCAATATTTGTCGGTCCTCTAGCGTGTAAACACAGCATATCTCCCGTACCGACAATTTATTTGTCGGTCCTCTAGCGTGCCACCACATCAGAGTCTAGAGTACCGACAATTGTCGGTACTCTAGCCTTTACGATATTTATTAGACATAGATATGAAACATTTCAGAACTAGATAACAGCAACGCGAGGTGGAGCAAATCCCATCGAACTTTTGATCTCAAAATCGTTCAACTACTTTTCAAGTTTTAGTAAAAAAGTAAAATAAGACGAAAAATTTCGAACGCAATGCGTGACATATACGTAATTCGCGTGAAAAGTCCGAACGAAATGCGTACGTTTTTTTTCGGCGTTCGTATTTTTGCTGTGTAGACGAACTTTTTTAGAAATTTTTCGACTGAAACATTTTTGCTTGACAATTACCAGGTAAAATGCGTATTTGCGTGCACAGGGAGCTCAAGTTGGAACTATACGTAATCATTTAGTAAACTGGACTGGGAAATCAGAGGTCGAAGGGTTTTTCAATAAAATATATTCCAAAAATTCTTGACACCCAGTAAGTCGTAGGGTCGAAGGGTCGTAGGTCGAAGGGTTTTTAGTACATTCCGTCTGATCGACCCCTGGATTATATCAGTAGAGCCTGATGGTGACGCAGTTAATGAATTCTACAGTATGTCTTACTGAACACAGCTGGCTCAAAAGCCTTCTGTCACCTCGGTAGAGTAAAGTATGTCAATATTCCATCCCCACGAAATACAAACATCTCAAATTACCTTCTTCTAAGGCCACTGTATCGTGGCCTTCCAGTAAAGATATATTTCTGCATGAACAACTGGTCATGTCGTAATCATAAAATTTGAAATCATATGTCCGCCATTTTTCCACATCACAATTTGAATTGCGAGTTTTGGTCTTATTACCTCACCAAAAATTCCAAAACACACATAAAGTGATCAATGTATTAGTTCACATCTTCTGGATCGCTAACTTAGAATTTACAGCCAGTTACTAATGTCAGTAGTTAACGACATTTCGTCCAGTTTTCGAACATCGCCATTTTTCTTGGAGCCATTTTGTTTTAATTTTAAAAGAAATCCTGATGAAATCATGTCATATCTCATCAAGGAGTTGAGCGGGGTCCGTTTTGATTAATGATTAATGATTTATTTATCTGGTGATTTTTAGAATATTCAATAAATTTATGACACGGCGGCCAGCTTTTTTCAAATGGAGTTCACAATATTCCAGATGAAATCCCCTCTAGCCAAGTATTGGCTAGAGGCTAGAGTAAATCTCAAAGGTTATCCCGTGCCAGGACTATAGTCCTGTACCGAGCGCACTCTTTTGCCTGTACGATTACAACTTGGGAGAATTATCTACGCCCCTTACACTTAAGATACCTACATACTTCAATAGATTCCTTGGTATTTTAGCATTCTTTTCGTGTAGTTGAATCCACAATTGTCTGGGTTTATCAAGGGCGAACGTAATACCCGGATCGTTCGCAAATTGGCGTTCGGTTTTTTACCGCATCTGATTTGAATTAGCCAATTAACAATAAGCATGATAGGGGTGTGATAACTTGAATTTTTTTCTGACGATGTGTCTTACCCCCCTTTGGACATAAAGTCCAGAGCTGAATATGTCAGCACATGTTGATGATCGGTAAGTTAAAACAATCTATCCTCATAACGTAACATATTTTCTATAGTTTTAGTGAATTACGGTCACGAACCGTTCGGAAACAACAGTTAAAACGAAGATTGTCCGCGTCAATTTTGATTGCGCTGATGAGAAACCAACGGGGTCTTCTCATTTGCATAATCAGGTCACCTTATACTACGCCATTGAGCTTGGTAAGGGGGGTAAGACTGACTGACAGAAAACACAATCGCCACTTCAAGTACATTTCCCTGTTTATTCTGTTCGTATTAACCCTTATTTACATATCATATATTTAAGTTAATCAATTATGTAGCTAATGATGTGAACGGATTGCAATGCCATAGAGTAAAATAACCGCAAAACGGTACAGATAAAGGTACCTAGGTCTGAGAAAACATACCCCTCTATACACTATTGTCTAATGAAGACCAAACAAAGCCCCGGATGTCGTGTCATTTCTCATTTCGTTTGGTACACAACTAAGCCCCGGGTATTAAATAAGCCCTTGGGTTTATCGGCAGAACGAAGAAATTTTCGTTTTTTGACTCTATACTGATTATTTGGAGTTCAATCATCATTATATGATATACATGAGATGTACTAAAGTTTTGTCATGTTATCAAGTTTGATTTTCTTTTTGCTTTCAGACATCCTACACTGACAAAGGACCAAAGGTTAGTATCCCGGGGGGTTCACTCAAATATACTTCTTAATACCGAAGACCCCATTTTTAAGCATTTTTTCCATGTCAATTTCCTCTCAAAATTGGAGGTTTCCATGTTTAATTCCTCTGAGACTTATAATTGACTAAAAAATCATTTTTCTAGTGATTTTTTCAAGGCCTTAGCAACTGATTTAACAAATTTAATACAATTTTTTGAAGAAAGACTGAAACTTACTAAAAAAGGGTACTTTCAAACACAATTTTCCATGTTTTTTTCCTCTCAGATTGGCCAATTTCCATGTTTTATGCTCAAAGCCAAAATTGGCCGCGCTGCACATACCTACCCAAATTATTTGGAGTGAACCACCTGGGGTTAGTATATCAGATGTATACTTGAATAGTGTTTATGCATGGGCAATAGAACGCATATTAGAATATATACCGAAATTATTTTTTTACCAGGTAAGACTTTTTGGTTTAAACATTTTGTAAATCCTTATTTTGATTAAATATCTACTACAATCAACTCATGAATAAAGGTTTAACTCATTAGCGACGAAGGACGTGATATGACGTCATAAAGCACACGCACAATGTATTTTTTGGAATCTTGTAACCATGACAACTTATAAAATGGGACTTAAAAACCTATCCATTCTGAAAGAGTATATCATATGCTTTAGAATGATATATAACACAATATATGCATGCCCATGTGTATACTTTATTATCTCAGAGGTACGTATATGGCAATTTTCAAAAATTAGTCAGTATTATAGTGCTTTTTTGCCCCAGTATTGAATGAGTTAATATCAACATACAATAAAAACTCTCAGGTGGAATTCCTTTGTAAGTAAAACCCCTTTATATGTGGAACCCCTTTGTAAATAGAACTCCTTTGTAAGTTGAACATGAACTCCATTGTCTCTGAAACCCCTTAAAATAGAACCCCTGTGTAAGTGAAACCCTTCTGTAAGTTAAACACTCTTTTTCTTCCAAACTTTTAATAGTTATGTTTTGATGCAATATATGAGTAATATAAATGTAGTACAGTAAAACCTGCGAACAGGGAATGCTCTTGGGACTGGAGGAAAGTTTCCTTGTTCAGAGGTTTTCCCTATAGAGAGGGGCCGCACTTTCAGCAAACTCAAAATTGCCAAATAAGCATATTTGTATATATATTGATTGTTTGTACAAATGCCGACTCCATACTTGGTTACATTCTCCTCATGTTGATTTAAGCTGCTTCTAGCGTCTGATGATGTCTAGTTGATGTAATTATTGATATGATGTGTAGAGATATATTGCTAAGAACTGAATTTGAAGTTTCATCAACCCCATTTTATATCATTGATAATCTAGAAGTTGGACCAGTAAAAGATTTAAAGAGATTTGGCTCAACATGACCATGTACTTCCTATCTGTTAACTCCATAAAACAATTGTGTCAGTCCCTGAGTCCCTAGATTATCACAACTGATTTGATGTAATTAGGTTTTTGAAAGGAAGAATTGGTCTCATAATAAGTAATAATAAACAGATTAGTATTAGTTTTAAAATATATCAGGGTAATTAACAGTGTGTGGGATGCTACATCATGTCAACAATTGGCTTATCTTAATCTCAATCATATTAATCCAAGCTTTTTAGAATCAGATATTGGCTTAAGACTTTCACACCTCTGAAAAATAATGGAATATACAGTGTCACCAATATTCCATATTCCTTGTTTACAGGTGGATTTTCATAATTTGCCCCAAAATAGTGTTTCTTGTTCCCTGTTCACAGGTTTTCCCTACAGAGAGGGTCCCTTAACATGTAAGTCAATGGCAAAATATTCGGTTCTTTTGAAAAGCATTCCTTGTTCATAGGTTTTCCCTACAGAGAGGTATTCCATCGGACAGGTTTTACTGTATATCAAAGTTTTGTATTTTTGTGTAATTTAACCTTAGAATATAAAGTAATCTGAAGTGTATTGGTATAAAATTAATTTCTTTACTTTCAGCCAGAGGCAGGAAAATTCCTGTGCTTCGACCATGTCACATTCTGGGTTGGAAATGCTAAACAGGTGAGCACTTTTATCGAAACTTTTTGAAAAAAAAATAACCATTGGTAGAGAATTACTCAAATACGTTTCTGTTTCCTCAGCTCACGTGAGCTCTAAGAATGGTCTGAACTCTGAGAGTGTTTGAAATGTATAATTTATGTAAATTGGATACTCTGGGTTCCCAAGGTATATTATCGATGAAATAAATGTCGTTGTTGGTTTGTAAGCTTATAAATCATACATGTTTTATCCTACAGGCTGCTGCCCATTATTGTGCACGTCTTGGCTTTGAACCATTTGCCTACCAGGGCTTGGAGACTGGCTGCAGAGATGTAGCATCACATGTTGTCAAACAGAACAAGGTAAGACTTCTTCATTTACCCCTATCCTCATAACTGTTGATGATTGGATTCATTTTCGAAATCATTTGCTGTAACCTTGACAGATAGAGAATGTTGTGTTGTATAAGGCTTGTAGGACCATATAAGGACTTCTAAACAAATAGTAATAAGACAATAATAGATTTTGCTATCCTTACAGAAGATTTTGGTGTAATATTGTTGTGCAATGCACATAAGTCCAGAATTGAATACGCTTTATTATGGTATATAGATTATGGGGGCATGTGAAGTAGTATTGCCTGTGGATGGGGGGACGGTCATTATGAAACACCCTGTAGAATGTTTACAGTTTCTGTTTTCTTGTATTTACAGATCATCTACATATTCAAGTCCCAGCTTGAGCCTAACAAGCCAAAAGGTAAGAACAATGCTTATTTATTTATTGATTCATTATCAATTTATTTATATGTGTTTTGCTCAGTATCATTTGCTTATTAATTGTTGACCTAAACACAGTTATGTCACATTGTCTGTATTGTTATATTTTACTTGTTTAATTAGCTTGTGTAAAGGTAAAAAAAAAGTGATAACATTTTAATCTTTAGTGCAATCCATGAATAAGAGTTTCTAGTATGAAAAGGTCATCACATCTGAAAAATTATTTTCTGTTTTATGCAATCTGACAGTGTTATCTTACAATGTTTTTCTGTATTAAACAATGTTGATCTGTATTGTTCAACTTGAAATATTAATCGATACAAGAGCGGACCTATGCCAACATCTGATAAGATTTCGGGCATGCTTAGTAAATTACATGGGGGCCATTTGCTCTTTTAGTGTGTTATTAGCTCATTTATCACTGTGTGCCTTGCTCTTCATCTTAATATATTTTCCCTATCTTACAATGTTTTTCTTTTTCTTACAATGTTTTTCTTTGTCTTAATATGTTTTCTCTATCTTACAATGTTTTTTTTTTCTTACAATGTTTTCCTTTTTCTTACAATGTTTTTCTTTATCTTACAATGTTTTCTTTAGTTTAAAATGTTTTTCTTTATCTTAAAATGTTTTTCTTTATCTTACTATGTTTTTCTTTATCTTACAATGTTTTTCTTTTTCTTACAATGTTTTTCTTTATCTTACAATGTTATGTTTTTCTTTATCTAACTATGTTTTTTTCTTAAAATGTTTTTCTTTTTCTTTATCTTATGATGTTTTCCCTATCTTACAATGTTTTTCTTTATCTTATAATGTTTTCTTTATCTTAAAATGTTTTGTTTTATCTTACAACATTTACAGCAATGTGTGACCACTTGACGAAGCATGGAGATGGCGTGAAAGATGTTGCATTTGCAGTGGAAGATCTAGATGCCATTGTCAAGGTAGGTGATCATGGGGGAGGGGGTAAAAGCCTAAAATAAGAATGCCCATGAAAAATAATGATGATTTTTTGATGCAAAAATGTTGTTGAAATTTGCAAAACTATTATTATGGGGATATTTTCTCTCATTACTCCTACTAAAAATCACAATTGTGGATGATGAAAATTCATCTGAATATTTGAACGAAGAGCGGAATATATCCTGTATTGCACTTCAAATCATTCTATAACATTTAAATCGTGTGATCTAAGGCCAATACATTTTTATATAGGAGATAACATACATTATTTAAGGTATGTAAAATCACAATACAGGCTGGTCTGTTACTCCACCTGTTTGTAATTTACTAATTAACTAACAACTAATGCAATTATATTCATCTAAGACATGAGTGTTTAATGAGAAAAATTCAGTGGGTTGTTTTAGCATTCACTTTGCTGGCTATATCACTTAAAAATGCTCTAAGGTAAAGGAAGCCCCTCCTATATGAAATTACTTTACAGTAAAACTTGTGAGGTGGAACACCTGTAATATGGATCAGTTATTACACCATTACATAAAATTACAGTATTCTGTCAATGCACAAGAAATATAATATGTATAAGATTTAGTTATTCATCTCTATGTTTCAGAAAGCGGAAGATAAGGGTGCCACTGTATTGCGTGCCCCTTGGGAGGAAAGTGATGAGTCAGGCACTGTAAGGTTTGCTATGGTCCAAACCTATGGAGATACGACCCATACCTTTGTAGACAGGTCAAAATATAATGGACTTTTCCTGCCTGGTTACAAGGAGCCCAAGTTTGGAGACCCCTTAGTACAAACGCTGTAAGCACTTTTTGCTATTTGTGTATGTGTTTATTAAAAATGAAATTATTTATGATAAAGGATATCCAAGATTCTGTGATTTAGATAAGTGATTAATTTTTTAGCCTTTTTCGTGGTAGGCTACATTAAATATATATTCATTTCCTCATAATGCTTTGAATATATCCATGTACAATATGAGTGTGTCTGTCTGGGAAGTGGTTCCACATTAATCTAATCATCAAAACTCTAGTATGGTAAAACTGCTAATTCATTTGACTTGAAATTTCTACAGATGCAAGAACAGACTAGTGCCAAGATCTGATTAGGTTTTGGGCATGCTGGGTAAATTTCTTAGTGGCCATATTTTAATTTTTAGAAAAAAGTATGATTTTTACTTTATGTTTCAGGCCTAAGGTTGGTTTGAACTTCATAGATCATCTTGTAGGAAACCAACCACTTGAGGAAATGGAGCCTGCCGCAAGTTGGTAAGTCTTTTCCCAAACATTAAAGCAAGTTGGTGATGATTGAAGGCTTGCACCCATCTGAAGAATCAATTTTCATCCACAGTAACTCCTGTCTAATCTACATGTCACTGGGACCATTTGAACATGTTCAGATAACCAAGTGTTCACATTTCAAGTGTTCACATTTCAAGGTTTCATAATATGTGAAACTATGAGAGATGACAAAATTTGGACCGAGTTAAAGTGTTCACATATCTAAATACATAAATACATGTTTCTGTATTTCGTGTAATATGTTCATGAATTTTTCTGAAAATTGGTGTGTATCAAGATCAATCAATTATCTTCAACATGTGATAGTTTCATAACAAAATTATGAATTTGAGTAATTGTTATGGTTGCTATGGTAACCGGGGGAGTCAGGGTTGGGGGGTGAGGCAGTAATGAATGTTACCTTTTCATCATTCCTAACATTATTATAGGTATGAGAAGAATTTGATGTTCCATCGTTTTTGGTCAGTGGACGACACCCAGATTCACACGGACTATTCCGCCCTTAAGTCCATCGTCGTGACAAACTATGAGGAGACCATTAAGATGCCAATCAATGAACCAGCTGTCAACACAAAAAGAGCCAAAAGTCAGATTCAGGTACAATTTAAATCTAGCGCAATTTAGAAATATTTTGAGCTATTAAACAAATACTGGATGACCATGAGCATGGCAATAGACCCTGCAGCTCTTAACCAATCAGATTTTAGTATTTTAATGAGGTGCATAATAATCTCAGATTCAAGTTCTATACTAATTTCTGCATATGACAAATGTAATGTATTAATAAATCTGTTAGGATTAATGGCCCTGAAACCCTAATGTAATAGATAGATAATAGAAATTTAATCTTTTATTTTATGGTCTTTATGGGTCTATGGTTCCATGTGTATATATGTCGTTTATATGCCTATATACATTTGTAGGAGTATGTCGACTACTATGGCGGAGCTGGAGTTCAACACATTGCAATGAACACTGATGATATCATCACTACGGTAAGTTTTAATTTTTTAACAAAGCTCCGAAATCATGTTTTCAACCCACTGAAACTGCATTGGCCACCTAACAGTACATTAAAATCTGTTCAAATATTTTGATTTTAATCTGCCAAAGACTATCATGTTAAAAACCTTCCAAAGTGAACACCTGCCAATCCAAACCCTTTTGGCTGATGCCAGTGAGGTTTTAATCAGATAGGTTTTACTGTACTTTACCTTCTTATCTAAATAAATGCATCTCTTGTTCCAGATTAGCAACTTGCGTGCGAGAGGACAAGTCTTCCTTGATATCCCTGACAGGTACTATACGAACCTCAAAGAGAGGCTCAAGTCATCAAAGGTTAATGTCAAGCAGGATCTAGCGGTACTCCAGAAGTTGAAAATCCTTGTTGATTTTGACGATGATGGCTACTTGCTCCAAATCTTCACCAAGAATATGCAGGATCGCCCCACTCTCTTCCTGGAAGTCATCGAGAGACATAACCATAGTGTAAGTATATCAGATTATGGGTACTATTTAGATTATGGGTACTATCCAGATTATGTGCACTATCCAGATTATGGGCACTATAGTGTAAGTATATCAGATTATGGGTACTATTTAGATTATGGGTACTATCCAGATTATGTGCACTATCCAGATTATGGGCACTATAGTGTAAGTATATCAGATTATGGGTACTATTTAGATTATGGGTACTGTCCAGATTATGTGCACTATCCAAATTATGGGCACTATCCAGATTATGGATACTATCTTGTGATTTCTCAAGGCCCTTTTTACTGGGGGCCGTGCCCATTTGGCATCCAGGGGAAGGTTTACACCTAGTGATTTTGCACTCGTTTAAAAAAATTCCTGGGGAGATCCCTTGATGTTATCCAGATTTTATGAATATTCCTCCTTTTTGTAGAACAATATGTTGCTGAAACATAAAGTTTAATTACAGACTTCTGTTTCATTGCACTCCATTAGAGCTACCATCCAGAACTCACTTTTACAGTCAAGTTTTTGTCCCGCCTTTGTTTTTATATGTGAATTAGTCTGTAAACCCCATTTCGGCAATTGACATTTTTATGTCACCACCAAAATTGCTGACATATTATTGTAGTCTCCAACCTTTTTTTGGATGGTGTTCGGTGTCTGGCATTTGATGTTTGGCATTCAGTGTTTGGTGGTCAGCTTCTGTAACAAATGGCAGGTTGTGACATGTTGCATGTTGATGCCTTGTTATGTTCTGTTAAAGTACCTTAAATTCAGCAATTAACACTGAAAAATACAACAACTCTCATATGTTTTCAGGGTTTTGGAGCTGGCAACTTCAAATCTCTCTTCGAGTGTATAGAAGCAGATCAACACGAGAGAGGAAACCTGCTGATAGAGCAAGAAAATGGCAAAGAGTAGAGAGACCTGCCACAGAGAGGAAACCAGATGCAGGCATTATGAGAATGGTAAAAGAGAGACTATCCTCCATGACCAGATATAACTGGTAGTGTTCAGGACTTTTTCGGAATTATTTGCATCAATTAAAAGGAGGGTATGAGTAATGTAAACAAGCACAGAACATGAATATCAGAGAACTCAGATAAGTAGCTATAGATAAGTTTAGATAAGATGTTGAACTTTAACTGCAGCAAAATGTCCACAAGTCAAGCTTTTATTTTTTGATAAGCATATTCAATAAAACCCGTGAACACAAGAACTGTCAGATATAATCTGTTGGACCCAAAGTAGAGCTAAAATGGTAGTTTTGTTGCAGTAAAATATCTGTGCATGTTTATGTTACTTGTTGTATATGTAATATGTAAGACAATATATGTAAGACAGTATTTAGTATTATGTGAGACAATATTATACAGTGGTTTCAGGTTTTGACTAAAGATCTAACGACCAAAGATATTAAAAATGTAATGAAAAAATCTCTTTTAAATATGTCCAAAGATATGTTTAAATATGCATATTATCTGATGGCAGCTATTGGTCGTATATTAAAATATTCAGGATTTTGAGATACAGTAAAATCTGTGTAAGTGGAACAGCTTTTGTACTTCAAAATAGTGTTCCACTTTGGAGGTGTTCCACTTGCAGAGGTTCATTTACATCAGTTAACAGATCTTTGAAAAGTGTTCCACTTAGAAAGGTGTTCTACTTATGGAGTTGTTCCACTTTACAGGTTTTACTGTATGTGTAATGTGTAATGTGATATGGCACCATGGGCAAATGCATGTATATTGTATAAGTCTATATGAAATTCAGAGTTTGTTCTATGGTGGGTAAAACTCCAAAAAAGACTCCCAGGATTCTGAATCTAAAATCAAAATTGAAATCTGACATCTGGGTCAGATTCTATGACCTTTTGAAATGGGTTCTTCCTATTTGCCCATGTGTACCATATTGTACATAAGAGAATGGTTGCGGTCCAATATAATCTTGCTTCCTTGGCAGCTAAAATAGTAGATAACATATAAAGATCTACCATATATTTTATTATATGAAATGTATGTAAAATTATGAGTAGTATAACTGCTTGTTTTTGTGTTAAGGGGGGGAATCAACCCAGAATTCATTGATGAATTTAGATCCTTGGGGTTCATCTTTACATGAAGATAGGTTCAACTATGAATTCTGTTTTTTTTCCTCCTCTCATTAGTGTGGTAAGAGTTTTGTTTTGATTTGTTTTTTTAGTACAAGTGAGTGATATGTTGAAGCCTTAGGCTTGAAGTATATATAAATGTAGATTAATGCAATTGTCAGTTGTTGCATTGATGCTGGTCTCAAAGTATTTTGTTATATTAAGAATTGGTTAGAGTTTGCCAATCATGTATTGTATGGAAATGCATTATTTTTGTTGTTGTTTGAGATGTCCATATTCCCAAGATCAACTGATTTGACTCAGCATTTTAGTTCAACCAAGTTGTGTATGCAAGGATTTTTTTGTATTTATACAAAGGGTAGAGGACAGTGTCTCTGGATATTTCATTATTTATAGAAATGGGCTAAGGGTAATATCTCCATATACCAACTAGCAATAATACAAGGATTATTATAGGGTGTCTATAAAGTCTCTACTCTTTACAATGTAATTGTAAAGAGACTTTGTAACACCCTGTATATATGAATATGTGTATCAGTAATGGGACACCCTGTATATATGAATATGTGTATCAGTAATGGTTGCAGGCATATTGAACATAAAAAACAGTCAGTGTAAGTCTAAGCTAAATAGGCAGATCTCATTCATAGGGACATGACATATTCACAATTTCTTGTGGCAGCTACATGTATAATAAATACTTACAGATAATTATAACCGGCAAACTATTTTCAGAATGATTAGCCATATATAAGTCATATTCGCTAAATCTGTAATATTTTACAAGCAATATAAAGGAATATTAGCCAAATACATTATATTAGCCGTATATACAATCTTGGCCATATCTGTAATCTCATAAACCTACTTTTATGAGAAATATTGTGTTTGAAGTGTGCCAAAATATTTCTCTTATATGCCATTGATAGACAAATCAGTGAATAAACCACTGAAAAGTGATATTAATTATTTCAATGTGAAGCTATCAGGAAATAAATAGAATTGCTTGCTTTGAATTTCTGTTTTTTGTTTATTTTGTGGCTTTCTCCAATATAAACATTATATATACTGTATACAGAGTGACACATCTATATTGTATTTCTTATTGTTATTTAATTTAAATTTTGATTTTTTTGTAACTTTAACCAATGTTCTTCAAATGGTTCTGTGATATCATGGGCTTTCAACTAACTGAAAGCCCATGGTTATATACATTAATTTTTAGACATAATATTTTGAACGCTGTTACATTCAAAAGATGTCACTTGGGAGTACCGTAGATAAACACTATTAGAAATAATATACAAGGCCTATAATTTTAACCAATGTTCTTTAAATGGTTCTGTAATATACATGAACTTATAGACATAATATTCCGAACAATTTATTCTACTTTAATGCTCTAACATAAAGATGTCAGTTTGGAGGTACCATGCGGATTAAAACTATTAGATATAATAAACAAGGCCTATAACTCAGGGAGATAATGTGGAAGACACACAAAGCTTCCCCTAAACTTGAATAGTACATAGTTTTATCGGATACATTTTTATCTAACATTTGCGTTTTGTAAATTAAAGATTAAATGTGTTCTGGTCAGGAAAACAGGATATTTTACTTTTCATGATTTTATAACTTGAACGCCATTTGGAAATCTAGTCACCCAAGAAAAAAAATTTCACAGTTGATAAGACCACATTTGTAGGTGTAATGTTTTTGTATGTAGATTTCAAATATGACATTATTTTGGCTAAACCAATTCATTGATGAAAATCTATGATATTTCTATTCACATTTAGTATTTAATGAACATTGATTACTGAGTATTGATTGCAGCAAGTTGATAATATTTTACAATTTTTTTAAATTGAGAATTAGCATGTTGATGTGTGATATAAATAAAATAGTGAATATCGTGGTATTTATCATATGCATTGAATAAAACTGTGAATATCATGGTATTTATCCTATGCATTGAATAAAACAGTGAATATCGTGGTATTTATCATATGCATTGAATAAAACAGTGAATATCATGGTATTTATCATATGTATTGAATAAAACTGTGAATATCATGGTATTTATCATATGCATTGAATAAAACAGTGAATATCGTGGTATTTATCATATGCATTGAATAAAACAGTGAATATCATGGTATTTATCATATGCATTAAATAAAACAGTGAATATCATGGTATTTATCATATGCATTGAATAAAACAGTGAATATCGTGGTATTTATCATATGCATTGAATAAAACAGTGAATAAATTGGTATTTATCATATGCATTAAATAAAACAGTGAATATCATGGTATTTATCATATGCATTGAATAAAACAGTGAATATCATGGTATTTATCATATGCATTAAATAAAACAGTGAATATCATGGTATTTATCATATGCATTGAATAAAACTGAATATCGTGGTATTTATCATATGCATTGAATAAAACAGTGAATATCGTGGTATTTATCATATGCATTGAATAAAACAGTGAATATCATGGTATTTATCATATGCATTAAATAAAACAGTGAATATCACGGTATTTATCATATGCATTAAATAAAACAGTCAATATCATGGTATTTATCATATGCATTAAATAAAACAGTGAATATCATGGTATTTATCATATGCATTGAATAAAACAGTGAATATCATGGTATTTATCATATGCATTAAATAAAACAGTGAATATCATGGTATTTATCATATGCATTGAATAAAACAGTGAATATCACGGTATTTATCATATGCATTAAATGAAACAGTGAATATCATGGTATTTACCATATGCATTAAATAAAACAGTGAATATCATGGTATTTATCATATGCATTGAATAAAACAGTGAATATCATGGTCTTTATCATATGCATTGAATAAAACAGTGAATATCATGGTATTTACCATATGCATTAAATAAAACAGTGAATATCATGGTATTTATCATATGCATTGAATAAAACAGTGAATATCATGGTCTTTATCATATGCATTGAATAAAACAGTGAATATCATGGTATTTATCATATGCATTGAATAATTAATATCACATTATATTGTTGAAGATTAAATATTTAAACCATGTGATAATGTTACTAATATTGTCATAATTGCGGATATGTACAGTAAAACCTGTTTCATCTGTAGACCACTTGGTCTGGCAAAAAGTGTTCGGATTAGCAGGTGTTCACATTTCAAGGTTTTCTAATAATATGAATCAATGGGGGATAAAATACCAGGGCCAAGTAAAAATGTTCACATGGAGTGATGTTTGGATAAGAGATGTGTTCAGATGTGGTTTTACTGTACAGTGTAATGCTGTATGTGGAATTCAGAACTTTCATCAAAGACATATTTCTTCACCTTATCAATTCTGTGTTTAATGATTGTTGTTGACACGCTGTCTCTGTTCAAAATATTTTTAAAGGTCAGTTTCCGATATCTCAAGTAGACATACAAGCAAAATAACAAAAATAACTAAAACAACCATAAACATCAAAGGAAACTTCTCCACTGGAAAAATCAATAATCAAAGATTTGCCCTCTAATTCAAACCTTATCTAACCTTACACCCCTTAGTCTATGCTACAGTCAATAAAATATTGAATGAAACAAACCACAATGTGGCCTGTGGTGTAGACTATTAGGCTATGTTCCAGAGATGATAGTAGCATCAGAGGCAGACATGCATAGCTGAATGATCTAGGTGCGGTGATAACTTTGAAGCTGAAATAACTCCAAGCCAAGGAATAACATAGAACTAAGACGAAGAATAACACACTGCCCAAGAATAACATATGTGGATAACAGATAAAGGACCAAAGCCTATACTAGGAAAATGGTACATGGAATGAACCTAACTGTACTGAACTGAAAGTCTGCTGAAATCACAACTTTTTCTGGATATGTTTAATGTTCTCGAGTTAGCGCTCTTATATAAGAGTGGAGAATTGCAGTTTCAATATTACTGGAATGAACCTAACTGAACTGAAATGAACTGAACTGAACTGAAAGACTGCTGAAATCACAACTTTTTTGTAAGTGGTATGTACTTAATTACTTAATTAATTGAACTGTAAACAAAACACTAAAAACAAACTAAGGAAATAATAGAATGCGGACATTGCCTAATTTCAGGAGATATTAATGTACTTGAGTTAGCGCTCTTATATAAGAACTGGAGAATTGCAATTTCAATATTACTAGCGACTTTGGTGAAGCAAATTAGGAGAGAATCTAGGATGTTGCGATGATATAATGTGACAGGTAATTGGTTCATATTTTATTTTAGAAATAATATCTGAAATTACATTATACATTATTGGAATTTACTAAATTTTTTTTATTCCATTTCAGTTTTATACAATTATGTTGAATTCAGCTTGGTGATTCAATGTGCAAGATTGTAATGTTTTTTTTTTGTATTTTCATTTATTTCCACTTTTTAACTCTGACATGTTATTCAAGATTCTAATATGATATGTGATGTCACAATAGCTAGAACAATCTACAAATTGGTCTATGTTGGAGTATGTATGACAGCTCATTCATTAATTCATTAATACATCAATGCAAATAGTTGTGTTTCTTGTCTGTTTATCATATTAGAATCGTAACAAAGACCGAGATTTTATGAACAGAATAAAATTTTCTGTCATATATTACGCCATAAATCATAAAATCTCAGTCTTTATTCCTTAAATATTTTGACACTTTATTTTTACAATAGATAAACTGTAAAACCCGAACTGTTAATCAGTGTATTCCTTCAGTCTTACCTTAATTGATCAAGATTTGTAAAACCTGTCTAATTTAAAAGCTACCAGGACTGGCCAAAAAGTTCAGGTGTTTTGATAAATCTATCCCAGAATGTAAAATGGGACTGAATTAAGTATTCACATTTGAGGTGTTCAGATTAGAGAGGTGTTTGGATACACTGGTTTCACTGTATATACAAACTAAGTGTGCGGTTGTAACATACTTAAGATTAAGAATGAAAGAAGCATTGTGAATTGTGATGAAACGCAGATAAGGATCCTGCGCAGTGTTACAACAAGAATTTTCCAAAGTTCACAATTCAAATAATTGGCCAGAATATGCAATGCTGGTTGTCATGGTTTCCCCATTTTCATGAAGTAAAACTTGTACAGTTTATCCAAACACTTCGCAAATTCGAACATCTCACAGAGTATGTTAATACTTTTTCTTGGACCCAATGTAACCTCCCATTGATTCACATATTAAGAAACCTTGAAATGTGAACACCTGCTAATCTGAACACTTTTAGCCTACTGCCCCGGTACCCTTCAAATAAGACAGGTTTTACTGTAAATGGTAATCCCCTCATTTTCACCCATTTGACCATTCCCCATTGTGATAGCCACGCCCCCTTTGTCTTTATCTTTCCATCCTTCCTTCTCGCAAACGGCAGAGGGGCTCTGGCATACCAGAAGACCATTCCCAGTTATGCAAGATTTTTAAGACAAAAAACTGGGGTCTTCAATGGGTACATAAATTGCACTCTATACGCCTCATATTAATTTCAGAACTGACAATACAAATGCGGATTTAATCTACGTACTCCAGAAATCTGAGAAGAGTGAATAAGAGGCAGGTTACGCCGAACCCAAACAAAGCACAGGCAGTACAATAGGTACATAGGAGTTAATTAACACTAACATTTATTATCCCAATTGATATGCAGTTGAGATATAGTTAAGCCCTCTCTCTGTCAGTTCAGTCTGTCCATCTGGGATTTGTGTCTCCTATCGGGGATAACTCAAATCCTATAGTAGGTATGTTTTTGTTGTATTTGATTGGAAATGGATGGTTAAATGGTTTTATGCATCTCTTTAAAAATGTACAGACAAATAGTACATTAGTCCATCGTCATTTTAGAGAACATGTTTTATTAATTGGAATTTATCAATTTCATACATAAAGTTACCTTGAAATTATGAAAAAGCTACATTTATCAAAACTACTCGTTGAATGTATTTTTGTGAATTATTTTTATCAATTTACATAACTTTAAAGTTACCGCAAAAATCATGAGAGGTTACCTTTATTAAAACTACTTCCTGTTGGTTACAAAACTCTTCTGCTAAAGGTATATTGTAGCTAATTGCTTTCTCTTGTCTAAAGTTCCAATCTGATTTCTCATATTTCACTAAATTTCTCATTAAAATCAGAACAAAAACACTTATTTCTTGTATTTTATATACTAAATGTCTATTACATGTTTTAAGTCAAGTGTTAAAATTACTATTTCTCGTTCGATCTCAGATTTAAACACATTTGGTGTTAAATTTTATTTTTGGGTAGGTAAGTTGCCAAGCCAGATGTGTTTCCAATTTGATGCAGAAGAAATGTGTTGTTCTATTGAGCTCTTCTATAAGTGGAATACTCTGAGAATATGTAACTTAAAGGCTATTGCTTTAACATTCACAATAGGAATTTTGATTTTTACAATTAGATTTTGTCAGGAATTTTGGCATTCTTCAATGGAGAGAGTCACTGATCTTTCTGAAAGATCCCCCATAAAGTTAAAACGATGTTGGGCTACATTTGAGTCTTACCCAATGTCACTAAAATGGGATACACAATTTTTTTGGAAGTTTGGTTTTCACATGCATCTTAGTATACCTACTATATTATATTTCACCTTATCATGGGTTATAATGACCTGGATGCCATTGGGGTATTATCTCCAATTAGTGGCCAGTGTAACTTTTTGGTTTTTAACAAATTAAGAGTTTTTTAGATTTGGAAAATTGTTTACATACCATATCGACAGACATGTTGATTACAAGACATCTACAGATAGTGGATACTTCTACTATTAGCAGATTTGATTGCTCCATTCATAAAAATAAGACGGAGTGCATTCATTTTAAAATGTAGATGATCTTGTATATTTTTTTCACAACGTATTAAAGAATCTTATGAAGCTTGAAAGTTGTCTCATTGATACAAATTGAATGTATTCTTTATTGCGTGGTATAATTATAAACCACAGTGATAATTTTTTCTGAAAGATCCCCCATAAAGTTAAAACCATGTTGGGCTACATTTGAGTCTTACCCAATGTCACTAAAATGGGATACACAATTTTTTTTACACAATAGAAGTTATATTTTTCCCTAACCACTAATTTATCACTATTAAAACAAAAAGATGTACAGCAAAACCTGTCTAATACAAACACAATTTGGATTTGCTATAAGTGTTCATTCGGGGGGGGGGGGTGTTCACATTTCAAGTTTTTTAACATGGTAGATTAAAATATAGTACTGCACAAAATGTTCATATTGAGAGGTGTTCAGATATGATAAAAGAAGTGTTCCAATATGTAGGTTTTATTGTATGTTTATTGTATAACAAACATTAGTCATCAGAACATTACTAACATAAAGGCATTGCTATTTAGTGTGAATTATTATTACCGATCGAATCTCCGAATCTTCGACAGCCCTTTTATTTTAAGATTGCAGGTTGTGAATTTTCAAAGTAATACCCTTTAATATATATAATTATAATATAACGTAACAGTATATAATAAAGCATTATCTCTTTCCCAGGTAATATAAGAAGAGAGACACCATGACCAAGCGCTCGTACATGTGCAGTGACGACCACATTGCAGATCTGCTGGTTGCATGAACAAGAACGGCACACGTGAACTGGGGTAAGTTAAAACTCTCATTTACAGGTTATATGTCATTGCACTTGGGCAGAATTAATAAACCCTCCTTTATTGTTCGAAAGACTCAAATGTATAAATCTCTATACATTTGATAATTTTTTTATAATCAAGAAATGGGTAGACAAGGAATTATTTGGGATGAAATTATAAATAAATAGACATTGGAATTTGGTTTTATGGGAGCTTGCTATCTATACTCTGACATCACTGATTTCCAGAATATCCAGAATATCCAAGGCGAGTTGACATGGAAATTTGATACCATATTATGCTCTATTTCATATTTAATATCCATATTCAGAAAATTTAGGTATAAGCTAAATTAATTTTATTCTGGAAATTTTTCAAAATTGTTTAAAGTCAGTGGCAATTGACAGTAATCCCAATCACATGTCAATTAAATTGAATTAATATAAATAGTTCAATTTTTCAAAATATTGGCAAAGATTGATTTGACATCGAAAATGAAATTCCAAATTCAATCAAAGATTAAATTAGTAACAAGTTATAACACATGACTAGATCAAATGGTGTCTTTTTCTATAATTTGCAACTGATTGCTAAAATATATAGAGAATAATCTATAAAGTGGAACACCTCTTGCAGTGGAACACCTCACATTGTGGAACACCTCCTTAAGTGGAACACTTCAGAGTCCAGTGGCCATTGCCTTAATGTTAAATGAACCTCTGTTAGTAGAATACCTCACAAGTTGAACTCTTTTAAGATGAATAAAAATGTGTTCCACTAGGCTTTGCAGTACTATTATAAACATTGCCATTTAATTTGCAGTTTTAAAAATTGAAATTTAACCGCTGACAGTGATGAATGATTAATGATTTATATTTACACTCCCCTCCATAAGTTTGGCAACCTTTTTATGTCCCCACCACATAGTGTGGGGCCATATTGTCGGCCTAGGCGCGTCCGTCCGTCCGTCTGTCTGTCTGTCTGTTTGTCTGTCTGTCCGTCCGTACGTCCGGCAGTTTTCTCCTAAACCGCTACAGATATCACCTTCAAATTTTCAGGGATAACTTATGTTGCATACAGATATGGACGAAAAAGTTTCAACTCGATACCTACTTCCTGTCGGCCATTTTGAAGTCAAATGCTAAAATCCTTGTCTGCAAACTTTAAGAAAAATGGCTTCACTGTTGCTTTTAAAACTTTAACATCCTGTTCAACTCACTTGATTCTAGATCTGATTAGGTTTTGGACCTATTAGCCCAGTCATGGCAGCCATTTTGAATGTCGTAAGAAAAGTTAGCGTGCGATAATACTTTGTATCATATTGAATGGTGTTTTTGAGTTTTCATACTTAGACTATTTAGTAGCTTTATAAAAAATTTCAGGTGTACTTTATTGTAAAAGCCTATGTTATTGTTAACAGTAGTTATATGTGCTAATTTTGTAAAAAGAAATCAGCAAAAACTTATAATCATTTTTTTATTGTCGGCCATTTTGGATTTTTCCATCCTAAAATCTTGTCTGTAAAGTCTTGTCTATGCCTTTTCAGGCGAACCATTTGGTAGATCATTTCCAAATTTTCAGGGATGTTTCTTAGTATGAAAATCTAGATCTGATTAGTTTTTTGGCATTCTGGGTAAATGTCAAGGCAGCCATTTTGGATTTTCCGTCCTAAAATCTTGTCTGTGAAGTCTTGTCTATGCATTTCCAGGTGAAGCGTTTGGTAGATCAATTTCAAATTTTCAGGGATGATTCTTAGTATGAAAATCTAGATCTTATAAGTTTTTTGGCATTCTGGGTAAATGTAAAGGCAGCCATTTTGGATTTTCCGTCCTAAAATCTTGTCTGTAAAGTCTTGTCTACGCGTTTTCAGGTGAATCATTTGGTAGATCAATTTAAAATTCTCAGGGATGATTCTTAGTATGAAAATCTAGATCTGATTAGTTTTTTGGCATTCTCGGTAAATGTCAAGGCAGCCATTTTGGATTTTCCGTCCTAAAATCTTCTCTGTAAAGTCTTGTCTACGCGTTTTCAGGTGAAGGGTTTGGTAGATCAATTTCAAATTTTTAGGGATGATTCTTAGTATGAAAATCTAGATCTGATTAGTTTTTTGGCATTCTGGGTAAATGTCAAGGCAGCCATTTTGGATTTTCCGTGCTAAAATCTTGCCTGTAAAGTCTTGTCTACGTGTTTTCAGGTGAACTGTTTGGTAGATCAATTTCAAATTTTTAGGGATGATTCTTAGTATGAAAATCTAGAACTGACTAATTTTTTGGGCATTCTTGGTAAATTTTAAGGTGGCCATTTTGCATTTTCCCTTCCAAAATTGTAGCAGTAAAGTCTTTTCTACTCATTTTCAGGATAACCATTAGATGGGATCACCCATTGGTGGTGACATATTGTACACATTTGTGTTCTTGTTTCCCCATTGAACTACTACTACTACCTACTATTTCCCATTGGTTAACATGGGAATGTCGATTTTCAAAAATTCATCAAATTCATCATCAATTTTCGACCTATTGTAATTGAGGAAAAAAATTTAGAAAATTTGGAGGTATTGGAATTAAAGTCAAATTCAAAGGTAAAGAGGCTTTAACACGTAGTTCAATAGGGGAAAAAAGGTTGCCAAACTTATGGAGGGGAGTGTATATATATAGGCCCGGATTAATATCATTCAATTATATGTGGTATAATATTATTGTGTCACCACAAGAAGTGGTGACATATATTAATAGTCTCCAACTTTTTTGTGGATGGTTTTTGTTGTTTGGCATCTGGTGTTTGGTATTCAGAGTTTGGTGTCTGTAACAAATGGCAGGTAGTGACATTTTGCTTGTTCATGCCTTGTTGTATCTTGTGTTATTATGACTTATACCATCAACTGGAAGTAACTAGTAGTTCATAGCTTGTTAATAATAATTTTTGATTGCATTGTCACATGTGTCACCTGACTCCTCATGCCAACATCATACTTATCATGTCACATTGTCATGAGAGAATACCAGTCCTCAAGTGATAATGATAATGCCTACTTAATATGATTCACACGTTTTCTCATATTACATTTACGTAAAATGTGTCATCTATGGTTCCACCCATCTTAGCTTGTCTCAGTAATTGTTACTGCGTACACTCCCCTTCATAAGTTTGTTTAATTAATGGTACACTCCCCTCTATAAGTTTGGTAACCAGAAGTCCCCCTTTGGATTACTTATTTATGGCACTGTATACCACAGCTTTGCTATAAAATATTTCACATAAAAGAACATAGGACTTCTTAAAGAAGGAGTTCCTGGGTCTGTCTATCATGGTTACATGCATTAATTATCCCAACGAACGAAGTTCGGTAGGGATATAGTGAAGCCCTCCGTCCGTCTGTCCGTCCGTCCGTCAGTCCGTCAGTCCGTCAGTCTGTCAGTCAGTCAGTCAGTCAGTCCGTCCGTCTGTCCGGAAGATAACTCAAATACTAGTAGACGGATTTTCTTCATATTTAGTGGAAAGATGTATATTGGTGAATAGTTTTACGCAAAAATCATAAATTTTTCATTCTGAACCAAAGTAATTAATATTATTGTTTGAAATTTTGGTAGTATATTCACAACATTTATCTATTACACATATATTCCGTGTTTTTCATCCTGACCCCCAGGGGCCGTGTATGGGGGGACAGGAAAACAGAAATTTTCGCTAATTTTTAGATCTTTCTAAAGTATAGCTTTATTATACTCAAATGAAAGGCAATTAAGAGTAGATTGCAAATATTGTATCTTTTTTCTGATTCAAGCATCGTAAAATTCAAAATGGCCGTCTAATGTACGATTTCGCAATAATTTTTCGATCCCTTCAAAGTATGGCTATATTATACTCAAATTGAAGGAATTTTTGAGTAGATCACAATTATGGTATTATTTTTCAGATTTGTATCTCAGAAAATTCAAAATGGCTGCTTTGCAGGAATTCGCAATTCTAAAATCTAATTTTTTCAATTTTAACCAAAGTAATGTGTATAATTGATTGGAATTCGCTAATTGATATTTTGTTCGTTGGGATTTGCTACTCTGCGGAGTTGCCGTTATCTAGTTATGACTGTATATATATATATGGGATATACCCAAGAGGTATTGCTTGCTTTAATTTATGGTACATGCAAACAAAATATAATACTAAAAGACAGGTTTTGATGTGCTATAAATAAAACATTCAGTTGCCAAATTTATGGAGGGGAGTGTATGTCATGGTTACATGGTTGTTAATTCATTTGAGTAAGTGTTACTAATGGAGTACAATGTATATAATACAAAAAGACAGGTTTTGATGTGCTTTAAATAAAACATTCAGTTGCCAAATTTATGGAGGGGAGTGTATGTCATGGTTACGTGGTTTGTTAATTCATTTGAGTAAGTGTTACTAATGGAGTACAATGTATATACGATATGATATCAATCCAATAATCGAAATTAAAGCTAGAGTCCAAGATAGGAATGACAGACTGTAAGATTTATCTCTGTCTTAAAGAGAGCATATAAATATTTTTCTGTATTTTCAATGTCTGCCATTTTTGCAATTTTGCAGTCTCTAAATATACTATGAAATGTTCAATAAAACACGCTTAGTGAATCTAGAACCACTAACAAATTTTAATTGTAAATTTTGTTATGGAGCAAGTCTCATGAAATATTCTGCAGTAGGTTTTCCTGTTTTCCTTCCTGTAATTTGCTTAAAGGAAGAATCAGACCTAGTAATTACTACTTTGGTTACTTTGGTGCTTCATCTTGACGAAAATTGTTTCAATTTTAGAATATTTTCATAATTTCTTGTCATGTCTTTTTTCTAAAATACCCCAAGTATAGGCTTTATTTGAGATTTATTTATAATAATGCAATCATATTAATTCTTATAATTTGGGAGAATTTAAATTTATCCCGTTTTTGCTCTTTGAATCTTAAATAACTTCACCAATTGATAACATATCTTGGACCTTTTGGGAGATATTATATTTGAGCTTGTAGGGA